GAGGAAACATTACCATGACAATTCTAACATAGGCGATTGTGCAACACAGAATGTACGAATGGTTCATCCGTGAGGCTGGCTGAGAGGAATGTTGTTTCAGGTAGTGGTGAGAAGCCCACTGCGGATCAAGTAGATTACAGTCAAAATGCCCCCATGCCTCTCCCAAAGCATCCCGAGGCTACACAAACCCAAGAGCATCATGCTTTAACCCTTCAGTTCGCTACACAATGACTCACTTACCCCTTACACAGTAATCCCAGATATCCTCAGCCTGCAAGCCTTTGTATTACGCCTGGAAATTCCCCGAGTTTGAGGTTACACTGGCATTCCACATAACTTGACAATAATCCTGAGCCATTTCTCCCTTTCTCCGTTTCTTTTGGAGGATAAAGTAAACAATTTAATGGTCTTTAGAGTGGGCGGCAGAGTGAAAACGAAAGCTGTCGCAAAAAAAGTTAATAAATAAAAGTAGCAAGGCAAGCAGCTTCTTGTCGTCCTGTGATGGACATTTGCATCTAGTAGATGTTCTGAAGTTACAAAAAAGGCGTGGAATCTATGATATTCTTTAAATGAATCAGATGTGGCTTTTCTTTGTCTTTTTTTTAAAGATCAGATGTAACTTTTTTTTCTGTTCCAGGAAAACAGATCAAAAATATTGATGAGTCATCTTGCATTTACGATCGTAAAGATATTTCTGTCCAATCAAATGCAAGAGAATCTTCCTCCCGTACTGCCACCTTTGGAAATGTTACTTTATATAGAAGAACCAATACTCATTTCTGAATCTACTTTGAAATCTGCCTTCAATTTGTGGGGTGAAGACACCAAGGACCAGTTTTACTAAACAGGGCAAATTAGGGCGAGAGCGCAATTCTAAAACAGCACCGATGGGCGTGGAAATTTCTGCGGGTGATTTACTAACGATGCGCAAATTAAAGAACACCGACGCAACATCTCATTTCCATATCGACCAACGCTATATACCAAGCACAGCGCAAATTGAATGCAGAGCTGATGCCTATCAGTTGCGGGTGATCTACTTACGACACAGGCGCTAAATAGTTTAAGACATGCTTTTTTTTGGACGTTAAAAAATGGCGCAAATACCAGTCATTTGACGAGCGCAAATGTTAGTAAATTGCATTGCGTTGTTCATTTTAATTCTCTCCTCCCATAAATTTTGTGTCTGAAAGGGAAACTCCTACAAATGCATATGCAAAAAGTTTAGGCTCAAAAATAACTGTCCACGCCTTTTCAGCACTAATTCTTCACTACGCGTCTTTAGTAAATCCTGACACAGTACTATTTTAACGCCAAAAGACAGTTTGCGTTGGCGCAAGCTGTTAGTAAATCTGGCCCCAACACTCTTAAAAATAAAAGTTATTTATTGCCATTGATGGTTCCATGAAGAACGTTTAACATCCATGGAACCTTTCCATTGCACAAAATGTTCTTTATAGTAAAACGGTTCTTTAGATAGTTAAAATGGTCTCTAAGAAAAAGTGGTTCTTTTAAGAACTGTTTATTGAAAGGTTTTTGGGGAACCAAAAAAAAAAAAAAGTTCTCCTATGGGATCACAACAAAACCCCCCTTTAGGAACCGTTATTTTTAAGAGTGGATGGCAACAAGATGTAAACTTGATTAGAGTATAAATAACAAATGTGAAATTACTAATTGAAAATGTAAACTTGTTTACTCATAAGCTTTGACAAAAAAAAATAAATAAATTGTACCACCTCCAACTAAAACAAGCTCAACATAACTGCTTTAGACATACTTTTCAGTTTTTATGAATATGTTTAAAGTAATGTCCACTCACATTATATGAAGACTCAGCATATATCAGTACTCTAAATGATTATTTTTAACATGGAGGCCCACAAGCTGCTGTCACATGATCAGCTGAATAGTACTTTCTTAATCTCGATAACCCTACTGTTATTGGATTCTTGGATTTTGTGGAATGAATAAATCATGGGACAATAGTTACGTTTAAGTCTCATAACATTGGTTAATGGAAACGCCGTCATTTCTCAATACTTTTTTATCGACATAAAATATTGCCTAAGTTTTGCGCAAATCTGTAATGGAAACGCGCCTAATGAGATATTTCCACAATAGCATATTGGTAACCTACTTTGTTTGCTGCATCAGCACTAGTAAGTGTCATAGTAAGTGACTTCTATCATATCAGCCACTGCCAAATAAACAAAAATACGTCCCCTTTAAAGGTGCACTTAATAATTTTTTATTGTTTATGTTGCACTACAGCAATCATCTTGGACTTACTGACAACTAGTGGCATGGAGCATCATTTTCATGCAGAATCATGCAAAAGTCTTCAGAGATGGATGCCACTGCAGAAATTATATCTTGAATTTTTTTTTTTTTATGTGCAAATTTTCACAATTCTTCAAACTTCTGAGTGCATACTTCACCCAAAAATGATTTACTCACTCTCATGTTGTTTTCAAACCTGCATTTCTTTCTTTTTTCTGCAGAACACAAAAGATTTTTAAAAAATTAAGAATGTTGGTTCCATGGACAAAAAAAACAAAAACAATAAGACAATAATAATAATCATTAAAAAAAAACATATTTTATGTACCACAGAAGAAAGAAAGTTAAACAGGCTTAGAAAGTGTTAGGGTTAAGCAAATAATGTCCTTTCTAAACATTATTTCTAGTCTTCATTGACTGAAGTAATGTCATATGTAAACAGCTATGACACTTTTGATCAGAAATGCTGACTTCATGACATTTCATGCACACTTTGAGTCGAAAGCTCAAAATCCTGAAAACGTATGATGGTTAGTTAAATCTAGACCAATCCGAAATTTTGATCCACTATGCAAGGAACATTCCCACAGAGTTCCACATGCATGAAGATTTAATATAGAGAAAACAAGATAGTATGTAACACAGTATCATTATATCTATGGCGCTAGCTAAGGAGCCAAACACACTCAAATGTAGGGCCTGCTTCTCTTATCCTAAAACGTAAACAGCAATCTGTGCTGCAAACTCCACTTATGCTCATTTTAAAAGCTTATCCTGCTGTTATTGTTGCTTACAGGGGCCTGGTCTTTGAGAATGGAGCGGAATGTGGCGCGTCAGAGGTGACAGTCTTCACAGGCCGACACTGAGTGATGGCCATAGCACTCACCTTCCTGGGACCGCTATCACCTTACACGTCCACAGAAAGTCAGAGACCAAGCCTCACGCTTGACTTCATCCAACAAACAGCCCACACAGGAAAGATCCCCATCTCCTGTTTCAGAGGGTCATCTTCATGACAGACTGATGTAGCACCTTTGGACTTTAGGGAAAACACGGATTGCTCTGGTTTCAAGCTCCTCTGCTTGACATTACTGTGATTCTTTTCCTGTGTGGATGCACTTTGTTTAAGAAAAACCTTATGAGTACTATCTCTCATATACAGATCTGAACTAACCCATAACTTAAGGTTGATAATTCTGTAAGCAACCACCAAGCAATGCACTAGCAACCACTCAGAAGACCCTAGCAACTGCACATCTACATGCTAAAAACACCTTACTGCTATTATATACCATAACAATGCCGTAGAATTAAGGCGTACAAGGAAAATTCACCTCCCAAGTTTCATTAGTTACCTTAAATTTCAAGACGAATCGTGCAAATGGTAACAAAACAGGTTATTGTGCAAGATCTTTATAGTTTGAGAATAACTTGCTTTGAGCTCCAACAAATTCTAAAAGCCAAAGCAAACATGTAAACACAACCAAACATTAGATGCACTAAAGAATGAAACTTGATGATTCTGTCATTTTAAGGGTTTACTAAGGAATTTCAAAATTCATAGCGTTTTTGATAAGACAAACTAAACTGACGCTAAATATAAAGGTTTTGCACTTTTTGAATTATTGTAGCTCAAATACAGCGCTTAGAACAGTCTGTAGCAGTTTCCTTTTAAAACTACAATCATACAAGTGCATGCAATTAGACTTGCCTTATTCTTTTAACATCACGTTTTAATTTATATGTATGTTGAAGAGCAGGAATATATTTCAGATGCTGTTAATTGTCGTCTAATTTTTCATTTTCACAATTGTCAACAATAGTTTATTTTGCAGCTCATAAAATTCCTAAAAACTTAAAAAGTCCATAAAACTTTTCAATCTAAATGAGGTCATAAAACTGCTAATATAAGAATTATTTAAAAAATATATACTACGATATACAATACGGTTCAAGAGTTTGGGGTCAGTAAGATTTTTCTTTACTTTTATTCGGCAAGGATGCTTTAACTACATCAAAAGTGACAGTGAAGACTTTTCCATTCTTACATTTTTTTTTGTTTTAAATATGCATATAAATATAAGAAATATATTTAAATATACTGTTTCATCAAAGAATCTTGAGAGAAAATAAAAATCACAGTTTCCACAAAATATTAGAATGATTTCTGAAGGACACATGTGACACTGGAGACTGGAGTAATGATGCTGAAAATTCAGTTTTAACATCACATGAATGCATTTCTGGTTTAATATATTTGAAAATGTAAAGAGTTATTTTAAATTGTAATAATATTTCACAATATTACTGTTTTTACTGTATTTTTACTCATATAAATGCAGCCTCGACCGTGACCATAAGAATTTTCTTTCAAAAACTTTTAAAAATCATACAGACTCCAAACTTTTTAACAGCAGGGTAGGTTATATGGAGAACAACAGCATGTCACACCACAGGACACTGCTTGAAATTTCATTTCAACTACGATGTTTAATTCTAAGAAGCACGTTGAAAAAGAGGAACAAAGCGGGAACGCCGCCAAAATGAGAGTCTTGAAAATGAGCCGCCAAAACAGTGAAGAAAGGGCAAACAAGCAACTGAAGAAGAGTAAAACTCATGCCTGCACATTGTGAGCAAAATCGTCAGTGAGTGTGGGAAAAGAACTGTGTGTGCACGGGCTCACGAAGAGCTCACGTGATACGGTTGCACGTTGTACTCACCGTCCAGGTGGCTGACTTGGCGGTGCTCGACTGCTGGAAGGTGACCTCGAAGTTGTGCGGCCCGGGGTAGTCAGTGTTGGAGGGGATGGCCGGGGCTGGAGACATGGCCTCGAAGGTCGAGTTTGGCTGGGAGTAGGGTGACGGCGTTGGCACGTTGGAGGTGGTCTCTGAGCTGTAGGGACTGGTAGACGCTGCTCTGTTCCCCAAACCTTGTTCCATACTGCTGCTCAGTAGGCTGTACTGAGACTGAGAAGAAAGCAGAAAGAGAAGGAGGGTGAAACAGGTAGAGAAGTGGGAGGGAGACAGGTGAAGGAGGGAGGCAGAAAGTTGACTTTGAGGGAAAGAGGGAGGAGATAAGACTCCATCCACTCCACTTCTAGAGCTCCAGGTACACCGCATCGGGACGTACGAGAGGGAGTCAAGCCTCCAGGCGAAGGGTAGGTTACAAAACACAACCTTAATCTGTCCAGTGTCTAATTGCCTGCCATTCTCTTCTCTAACTTCCAAACACAAAACTCACAGATCATGCCCACAACTCATAAACGATGACGTTTTGTGCTAGAAGTACAGCTCGACAGATGTGTTAAAAGTAAAGCTCAGCTGGACAAAGAAATAATGACATGATAACATCAGCTAATTTGGTAACAAACCCTGAATTTTCATGCTTTTGATGAGTTCAAAGTCCTCAAACATAGACATTTTCTTTGTTGTGTTTTATTTGTTTCACATTTCCATGCATTCTGAATATTTATAGCATACACTGTAAAAAAAATAAATAAAATAAAATCTGTGACATTTACGGTAAAATACCGGCAGCTGTGGTTGCCAGAACTTCACCGTAAAAAATATGGTAGCAACATTTTAGACATTTTAAATTCACAATTAAATACCGTATTTCATTAACTAATGTAATATTAATAAACCAACATATTGAAGTGCTAATATCTGTTTTGAACCATTGTAATGCACTGATAACCACCAAAACCTGGTGGTAATGAGAAAGTCACGTGATGAACCAAAGCTCATCACAAACAGCTTTTCTACGAGCTGAGGAGGGCAATATTTATATATTCAAGGGGCACAGTGTCATTCACACAAACACTAAACCCCATCATGGTGACACACATGATACTGAAATAATGCAATAACATTAATTTAACAACATTATATGTAAGATAAAACCCTAATGTACACAACTGACAAAAAAAAAAACTAAGAAGAAACAGTTATTTCAACAAAAAAACATCAAATATGAAGTGTCATGCAGGGAATTCTGGGAGTGTCAATTTACGTTTTTTCACTGTAAATTATACAATGGCTTTTTCTTTTTCACTTCCAAAAACCGTATTTGTAACAGTATTTTACTGTAACATTACATTAAATGTAATTACATTTATCCACCGTATATAGTATGGAAACTTACCGTTAACCAATTAACAGGTTTTTACTGTAGAATTTTTACAGTCTTTTACTGTTAAAATCACAATCATTTAAGTTTAGAACTGTTAGCATCGCTATCATTCATACTTTGTTTTTTTGTTTTTTTAATTGTCCCATATCATTTGTATGGAAGCCCATTTCCGCCACTGAAGAACTTTTTATTGACTTTTTATCTCACAATCCTGACTTTTTTTCTTGCAATTGCGAGCTTACATCTGACTTTTTTCTTTTTAAATTGCTTGTTATAAAGTCAGCATTGCAAGATATAAACTCACAATTCTGAGGAAAAAGTCAGAACTACAAGTTTATATCACGCAATTTTGAGTTCTGACTTTATAACTTGCTATTGGAAGTTTATATCTTGCAATTCTGACTTCATGACTTGCTATTGGAAGTTTATATCTTGTGATTTTCACTTTATTTCATAAAATTGCCCATTTTATCTCACAAAAGTACGTAATTCTGAGAAAAAAAAATATTTTTTATAAGTTTATCACAATTTTGAGTTCTGACTTGCAATTTAATGTATATATCTCACAATTCTGACTTTTTTCTCCGAATTGTGTGATAAAAAGTGACAATTAACTTCTTTATTTTTTTATTCAGTGGCAGAAATGGGCTTCTATACATTTGCATGGACATAAATGAATTACGCAGTTTGTTGAAGAGAGGTGGGTTATTACTTTTCTGAGTTATCAGACTTACGATTTTTAACTACAAAATGTAAAAAATGTGGGGGGAAAAAATCAGACTTGGAAGTCAGAGTCATATCTAAAAACCACAATATCAGAGAAACTTTGGCTGGGATCTTTCGTCTTGGGCCAGTAAGAAACCACCAAACGAACACCTTAGCAACATCTAAGCCAGCACACACTCTAGCATCAATGCAGAAGCTTTTACAGAAATCAAATCTACTTTACACTGTTATTATATAAATATGACATAAAATGATCACCAAAACCTCAAAAAAAGCAAATAAATCAGAAATACTAACATTACCACTTGATTCATGCAGACATGTTTTGATATAATAGCTCAAAGTTCAGGTAAAAAGCATGATGGGTAATGATTCCCACAAAACCTGTGGACCAATCAGAACCCTGTGAAATGAGATAGCCAAACTGCAACACAAGTCAAGCAAAGAGAAAAGTCTTTACCTTCTTTTTCACACAGTACATTGTCCAAACTGACAGAATCACATGTCCTCGGCTGTCAAACGACACACTGATGAACCCACAGAAACCAAAGTGGGTAAAACGCGCATCTCGCAAAGTCTGCTCAACCTGAGACGTTATCACCTGTTCTCGCTCTCTAAGAACTGTCCTCTGTGGAGTCCTGATTCTCGTGGACACGGGGAACCAGAGCGGGTGGAGTCCAGAGGGACGGAGGTCAGAAACCACACATTGTCCTAATTATGGCATATCGGCAGTCAGACAACACCTGCACAAGTATATACTTGCCGGAAGACGCTTTCTCAAGACCCTGCCTGCGTAAATAACGCCATTCAAGCAAGCACAGCAGAAAAGAGAGCTACAGATGAAGCAAAGGGTTTAAAGGTACACAGATGAGTTTTTCAAAATGCAATTAACTGAAAACTAGAAAACTAGAACCACGGGGTGCTTCCTGCAAAATTCAACACTGAAATGCTGCTGAGAGTTGCTACGTTTTTTCTAAGTGATTATCTACTGGCCCAAGTCAAAAGCCTAACACAAATTTCTATATCTCTACTTCAGTGTAAATGAACTTTTCCATCTGATTCATCATGCACCAGGAGAAAATTGCAAATCTGACCACTACAAGCCACATCTCTCCTCAGCAAGCTGCATGCTTTGAAGAATCATTCATGCTAATAGTGATACTTGCATTGTATCAGTGTAATCTATATCCCCATAAGAGATTTCTAATAGATTTCTGAACTTAGTTTTTGCCTCACATAGGGTGCTTTTCATAAATGATCTTAAGATGTACAATAAAATGTGAGAAACGCTGTTTCAGAGTCTACCACACACACACACACACACACACACACACACACACACACAGGTGTGCCTCATCAGTAAGTCTAAACATGCTCTGTGACAAGTTGAAACAGAACAGAAGCATTGTTGTGTGTGTGTGTGTGTGTGAGAGAGAGAGAGAGAGAGAAAGAGAGAGAAAGAGAGAAAGAGAAAGAAAGAGAGATTGTGTATGTGTGTTGTGTACATATGTGTGTGAGTAAATGCTTCAACATTTCATTTTTGCACAGACATGCTCGCTCGCTCTCTCTCTCTCTCTCTCTCTCTGTCTATCTGTACATAATGAATGAATTCTCCTTTAAACTAACATCCATATCATGAAGAAATGTTAATATGCTTTCACTATAACTGACAGCCACACTGACATTCATTCAAACCAGATTCAACTACATAATGAAGGCAGATTTTAAAAGTTGGGCAACTTGGGGCATATTGTCACATGCGTTTTAAAAGTTATAAATGCATACATTATACAATAAATGTTTTTGCTTTTACATTTTTTGTTTTGTTTTGTGATTTATTAATGTTTTTTGCTGTAAAGCCTGTAATAAGGTATTTAATGGCAGGTTTATTGTGACAACTTACCCCATATAGTGTTAAAACATGTTCAATGAACTACTGTATGTGACCACAAGTCTTTATACAGTATATTATACATAATATATTTCAAAGTATATCTGACAGATTTTGCCACAACATAGTAAGCAGTATGCAGATGTGTCAGTGAGCTGCAGAAATGTTTCCTGCACTAACATGAAAAAACAGCACCCTCTGCTGCAAACTGAAAGGACTGACATCACCACAGCTATTCAAAACTGCTCTGTTGAATCCTGATAATAACCTGATGAACTTAAGTAGATGTTCTGGACTTTGCTAACAGGTGTGAGATGACTGAACTAAACTGCAAAATATCAAAATGTTGCATGTTGCAATATTTCTCTCATCCCTCTAAAATGAATCAAAGCAAAACCAAAGTTGTGCACAGAAATTAACATCAACAGGTGTCTACTGCAGCTTTAGCATTAAAACCGCTGAAGGTTTCCTATCGAGCAGCATCACACGTTTCATCTCACATTAATAACACATGAAGATGTTTAAATGATTTTTTAAATGTTCATATAAAAGCCATTTTTGAGGATCTTTTAAGCATTTACAAGCACAGCTGTGCAATTTATAATAGTAGCTACTGTAAGTTGTATATTACAATCAGTTATAATCAAATTATTACTTGCAAATGAATTACAGATAAACCTCGAATTGAAGACCTAGTAAAAAAACAGACTGGTATTTTAACAGATTTGTCATAGAAGATCCATTTATACATGTAATTTAATATAATGATTAATAAGAAATAAAATAAAAGAATGGTCTCTAAAGTTTTAAGCCAGGCACAATGAATCTGGAAGACAGTGAGCAAAGAAAGAATATTGCTCCTGAATAATCAATGGAATGGTTCAGAAACTGCTCACCTACCGTGCTGTAGTAACGAGGCAGGTCACCGATACACAGCATCGTAGCGATCCCGCTGGGCAGGCAAAAGACAGGGGAGATTCTCCCACCTGTCTGGTCATGTGACCTCACCCAAAACACAGGTGAGTTCTGCAATTCTCAGTTCTTCACGTCTCACTTCTTCACTTTAGACGCTCCCAGAGAAACTAACTTGACACAACAACTCCAGGAAAGGTAACACACTCTGAGTCGCTTTTTCTGATTTTCCGCCAGTTCTCCTTGCCCCGTCAGCTTCTAGATGCAGCCAACAACAAATCTTTGCCCCTCCCACTTTTTGGCCTCATGACTATTCATTAACTAAAAAAGCAGGCCTGGACTTGCCCACTTGTCTTTTACACTATACCACTTTTTTCAAGGGGGTATGGTTAGATTGTAAAAAAATTTTTTTTAAATATATATTTATTATTTTTGAAATGACCTACACTGTTCACTGCTAGAAAAACAAAAAAGAGATTACAAACTGGTTGGAGCAATTTCCCATAAGAGCCAAGTGAAAAACAAACATCTGCAAATCAATACATTCTTGAAAATGCTTGTCCAAGCCTAAAGTGAACAACCAAAACATCTCAATAAGGATAAAAAAAATCCATACAACCTAGAACAGATCATTTACAGAATTCTGGAACTATTGATGCAGAAACTGAAAAATATAGACACTGCAAAGCAGCGCACATATTAAATACATTTGACAAAACCAGTCAAAAACATGTTTGGATCATATTTCACCCCAAACTAAAAATAATAGTAATACTAATAATAATTAAAATATATTAGGACAGGCTATATTATTTGTTGCATTTTGCATTTTTAATGCATTTAATTTTTCATTTAATGCACACACACACACACAGCACTTTAATTTATGCTGTTTTAATTATTTTTATTATCACATACAAAAAAAAAAACCTATATTACAGTAATAAGAATCAAATGAGAATCACAATTTAAAATAATGGAAATGACAAAAAAAGGATAATGTTCAGATAATGAGAATAGGGGGAAATGCGCTTAAATGTCTTATAACTATCCTAATGCTCCTAAAATAGGCTGCCTTTTTAATGCAACATATAATTTCTTCTTTCTTATATGGAAATAATAATACTACATTATTTCTTTTGGTTTTGGGGTTAGATGGGACTTTGTGAGCCTCTGTGTGTCCATCTCTCCATCCCTGTCTCCTGCTCTCTGTTTCCCAGCGTGTGCGCCCCAGATGGGAGGCAGGAGCAGGTGGCATGTTCCAGGCTTGGCTTTTCTCTCTAATTAAGGCATCACAAGCTCCCACTACAGCCTCCGCTCAAACACCCCGGCCTGCTGCAGAGCCCGAAGGGAGGGAAAAAACAGCACAGGAGAGGGAAACTAGGGACTGAGGAGGGAATACTTATGGATAAGGAGGGAAAACCAACACAGTTCAGTAGCACAGGGTGTTTTTTTGTTTTTTGGATGGGAGGTTGGCATGATCTGGCATCTCTGTGAAGAACCTTTTAAGCACCTTTATTTTTTAGAGTGTAATGGTCATTTTCCGCCAGGACATTATCCAGTAATTTCACAGACAATGCAAAACAACTCCAAATACAAGTAAAACACCTTTAAAAACTCAATATGAATATAAAGTACACCGTGCCCTGTTTTTACATTGTACCTTTGTACTTTGTTTTACAATCACTTCTCCTTGACTGTAACGGCTGATTTGACTGAGAATCTATTACATGTTTGTAAATCTGCACGCAGTGAATTCTCCACCGGCTTCTTACCATGACATTGTCGTTCATGTCTCTCATGTCTCTCATGTGGTAGAGGTCCATGCAGACTTCAGCGTGGCTGCTGGAAGCCACCCTGTCCCCTGAGTGTTCCGCCTGAGGAAGCTCAAAATATGTGCTGTCTGGCTCGCTGTAATAACACAGAGAGAAGGTACGTGAATCACAGGTGCGTGAATTAGAAGCACGCCAAAGGTCAATTCTTCGTACTGTAATGCACAAAAACAAACTGCAGTTTATCCTGAAACTGTGCCAATTAATTGTTACTAATATCAACGTAAACTGCATTATGTAAATGCACGCAAATGAACTCACAGGGTACTCCACAAGTTTTCAAAGGTTGTACCCTCATCAGCGGTGGACGACTGGGACATCTTGGATGTTGGACAATCCACCGCAGGGCAGATCACACTGAAAATCACATAACAAACAAGAGGAACATGCATAAAGCAAAAGCAAGCGTGCAGTTCAGTATGCGTTCTTTCAACTGCAAACCATCAACCATAAAGCATTTCTGCAATTCTTACGTTAAATAGATATTTCAATTTTAAGGGTTCCCTTTTTTTACCTTTTTTTCCCCCCAGTGTACCACATGGACTTCTTTACATCTTGTATGTGCATTTTATTTTTTTTAATTTTTTTTTTACAGTTTTAAAGTAAAAACAAACAACAACAAAAAAACATGAGGGTGAAATGAAGGGTGAATTATTTATTTAAAAAATATTTTGAATCTATTTTTTTTTTTATCAAACTGAGCTGAATACTCTAAAAAGAATACTCTAAAAAATACTCTGAATGAAAATTACATTTGAAATTAATTGATTTATTTTTAATTGATTTATTTTTATTTATTATCCTCCAAAATCCTCCAGATGACATGCAATACCAAAATAACGATTCTACATTTTAATCATAGTCGTTATTCATTAATGGACTTCAGCAATTTTATATTAGACACTAAATTGCTCTGTATTCATGCTTTGTAAAATGACTCTTTCTGAAATGCACCACTGTTTAAAGACTGAACACACACAGGATTCGATTTGAAAGTAATTTCCACCCTGCTGCCCAATGCATCTTCTGAAGTTTGAATCCCAGCAGATTTTGAGGCTGGATGCACAGATTCAGAATAAAGATGCCAGGCTCGGCGTGTCCGAACCTGCCTGGCACTGCTCCACTGTGACAGCGCTGCAGACCACAAGCTTCCTCCATCATATTACTCACATAATAATGATAGGCTATAAGAGTCTATCAAGAACAAGTCAACACAGAAAGTGAGTCTGCTGCGGCTGTGGATCATACGTTAAAACATCCGATAAAAAATTACACAATTTCATAAGTTCAGATGTGAAAGCAGGTTATGTCATTTAGTAGTAATTTATTAACATTGGTCAAAATTTTGCACTCAAATTATTTCATGTAATTTGAATGTAAGAAAAAAAAACATTACTTTTTTTTTTTAAAGAAAAAGCAAGATAAATTACTCAGATATCCATATCTTAATATATTATTACTGAATAATAAAAACATCAATACAATCATACTGTGAATGATATTTAAAGATGCTACACCAAGCTTGTTTAATTTTACTCATACTTGTGCAATGGGATAAATCTGAAGAAAATAATAACCGCAGTCCTGTTTTTTATCACACTGTTAGACTGTTTCCACACAGTCTGACGAATATATCCTGTAACACATCATTTATATGTAATTACACATGAATGTAAATTAAGTAGGCTATATCTAAAATAATGCACTCACCTTATCAAAAAAACAAACAAAAAAAAACTAGATAATAAAATGTTGGTAATATTTCTACCCTTGCGATTTTTTAAAATTCAATTCAATTTATATATGGGCTTGAGTAAAAAATACCCCGAACATTCACCACGTTTTTGTCCAGGAACATATATTGTAAAGAAAGTAAGTTTAGTCCATTAAACACATTTTGATCTTAATCATGCCACCAACAAAAATGAACTTGGCGTCAAGCAGTTTACGAACATGGATAGGCTGCTTCAGCCACATCTCAACAGGACAACAATTGTGAAGCGGCAAACAACATATATTGTAAAGAAAGTAAGTTTAGTCCATTAAACACATTTTGATCTTAATCATGCCACCAACAAAAATGAACTTGGCGTCAAGCAGTTTCCGAACATGATAGGCTGTTCAGCCACATCTCAACAGGACAACAATTGTGAAGCGGCAAACATATAAAGGATAACTTAATCAGTTATATACATTTATAACATATATATACACGTAACATTTCTAATAATAGGCTACTCTTTTCTTGAGAAAACTGTTCAGCCTTTCGGTTAAAAGCTGCCGTCTCGGATTAGCGGTTTTATCTTCACTTGTTTACAAACAAATAAGATGCTATTATAACTGTAATTTAGAGAAAATAATGAACAAAAATAAAGATAGCTTAAAATCAACATTCTGCTAGTAAATGCACACAATTATTTTACTCAAAACAGAGGTTAAGAATAATTCATTCGCCATGACAACAATAGCCCGGTCTCCCCTTAATTTTAAAATGAAATAGATGGGTCTTAATTCGCTCACTTAAAACCAATAAATAAAAAAATAACAATAAATGAAAAATGAAAAAGAAAACGTTTTCTCCTACAAGTGCCTTCAGGCAGAGCTCGAATTCTCTGTAGCGCAGCGCGCGTCGCGTCGCGTCTGTTCCCTCAGTAACACCGCGCGCACAACACCGTCCTCTGAAAGGTGCATTACATCAATTATATTCCACGCAGACGAAACTCACTGAACATTTGAAAGGACTAATCTATGATCACATTTTTAACACACCTCCCAAAATCATATATTTTGCTCCTAAATGCTCCTTTAGCCCTATATCTTATTAGCCTATTCTAAAAAAAATAAAAAAATTAAAATATATATATATATATTTATCCACTTTCCGTAGCCTATTGGATGTAGGCCTAACGTTAGCCTTTCAAAATTAAAATTGATTAGAAAGAAAGAAAGAAAGAAAGAAAGAAAGAGTCTCTAAATAAATCGTTTGAACCTGTGAATAGCTACAGAAGCTCAATTAACTGAATGCAGTGATATAAAGCAGGGTTTCACTTAGATGGCAAGCCCGAGCTCTAGTTCACGGACGAGGCAGCGTCGTGTTTACTCGTGTTGACCTGTATTCCCGAGACAGCTGCCACCTTGAGAGGAGTTACAGCTCTGGCAGCAATCACACACACACACACACACACACAACAGGGATTCAAGCGGAGAATTGAATTATCATTTGACAAAGGCCTTGCATTTCTATCTAACGGAGCTGTATCTTACCGAGGCTCACGGCGAACAGCTGCAAAACTGATCCAAACACATAGCACCTCACCAGTGAATGCGTCCTGGACGAAAAGTGCTCTATTACTCCTCTAACGCTTAACTTCAGACCGGGGTTCAATATATAGCCTATGCTAAAACAGAGGAGCCCCAAAAGATTGGGAAATTAAAAAACAGTAGCCAATTCATACAGAGTACAAACTCAGTAGGCTATTCAGCGCAGTACTAAACTAATACAGCACCCTTGACAACCAATCCGTCACACACACACACACACACACACACATTTCACCCTCGCACTCCAAATTAAAATATATTCAATCGGATTTAAAAATACATTTACAATAGCCTATACTATGCTATAGCCAAGGACATCATATTGAATAGGCTAGTTATGTAGGCTAACAGTAATACGACAATATATAATTTAATAGCCTATAACATAATCGAATAAAATATAATATAGCCGAATACATTAAAGAAATAGAAACAGATATCAAGCAGGCTAACGTCAGGCTGCAGCTTAATGGATTGTGTAGGCAACTAGTGACAAGAAAAAGAAGAAAACAGGAAAAAGCGCTCTCTTCAGAAGTCCATCTTTCTCAACAAGCACAGGTTCAGTCTACTGTACATGTTGACAGACAATTATCATCGTGAACTCTGACCACTGCATCGCCTTTGTGGGACACTCATCGATTCTCCTACTGATAGACTAACACAAACTAACACATTAAATCGCTATGGTACACTTAGGCGACTGTTTTAGTTAAAAACGACTAAATTACGAACTTGAAAAAATAAATCGAATAAATAAATATTTTTTTCTTCTTTTTTTTTTTGCATTATTAACGAATTTGAATACAACTAAGTTCCTTAACGAACACAAATCTAGTCTATAATAATAAGCTATTGGAGTGAATGATTGAAGCATGATGAGATCTCGCTGCGTTCACTTAAAGTGCGTGGGTTTAATGCTTACCTTCAGCTATGTAAACTCTCCTTTTTTACCGTGACAAATATTACATATAGTAAAGCGTTCAAACAAACCATAAACACTATGTTTATATTACATGTACTTACCAAACAAGTTATATTCCTGTCTTGCAACAACCTAATGCGATGCTCTCTGATGCCAAACTCAGTTCCCTTGACCTGCAGCTGACCCTACAGCCTTGTCAGGCAGCAAACGAGCTGCGAATTAAGACATCGAACAACAAAACGCAGCTCGAAGCTCTGCTTATAGTTAAAGGCGGATGCGAGAGAGGCAGATGAGGCTGATTATGCAGGTGTAGGGTAATCGGCTGCGGAGTGTGAGAGCACTTGGCTGTGGAGGGGTGGGCTGGGGATTGCTGGGGGACGGGAGGAGGCGTTAGTTAGCCGCCGTTTGGGCGCACGCGAGCGGGAAACACTAATCCCAGCTCGCTAAATGTGATTAAAGCTTGACATTTGCATTCCCACTTTATTTGGTATATGCGTAAGGCGTGACAGTCTAATTCGACTGTAGAAAGACTATAGAACTATCCCTAACAAAATCGTAGACCTCGATTTGATTCACCTGCCTCTCCTGACAGCATAAACACGTTTTTGCATTTGCTTTGAAATGCATACGCGCGAATAATAAAGTCATACAACTGAGAAAAGTCATAAAAGTACTCGGCCTGAGCTCAGTAAATATATTTATTGTAAAATCATACATCCTACTAGAAAATAGACGATGAAACTACATTTCCCACAATTCCCTCGTGACGCCGACAGTAAAGCGCGGCGCTGATTGGCCCTCAGCATGACACAAATGACGTTCTCGTATACGTCACTTCCGAAACGGTAAGCGATTCGGTTAGAGACCGTTTGATTGAGACCGTCGAGTCCTATCAGTGTCTTTTTGTTTTATCCTGCAAATGTCTTAATAATTGACCAAAAAACTCTTCGGACCAGTGCTTACGATACTCAAAAAGGTAACTTGTTATAACGCATACAGCTAGTGTTCTGTTAAAGCAGACATTAGATTAGAGGTGGAACCAGCTTTGTAGCTTTAGTAACGTTAAGCGCACTGATACGGAGCCGTTAACGGTTCTCAAAATAATATCTGTAATATTTAGATTTAACACACGGTTTGTCGACCAGCCTGCTACCTGGGTGAATCTCACCTGTTGTTAAGTATAGGCCATATCATCCCAAAATCAAAAAAATAGAAATAAGAAACTTATTTCGCATGGAACATTAGTTACTATGAGCATTACTTAAGTATGTGTGCATAGTGGTAATATCTGTAATAC